ATGGAGGGAAGGAGATTAAATTTTCCTTTGAAGATGTTTGAATTCAGTTTTCAAATCCAGTAAGCATGAAATTGAGGGGTGCTTACCTTGCTTACTGGAAAAAATCTCAGCAGAACCATGACTACAAAAACTCCCAGGCACCTCTGTAACATACAGAAAGAAAACAAAGAATAGCAAGCTGAAGACCTTGCTGCCAAGACTGAAGGATGATTTCTACTACAAATACAAGAAATACAGGCACTTACAGTGAACTTACAGTGAAAGAGAGAACTCAGTTCTTTCCTGTTATTCCCAACTACTCAATTGCATAGGTTCTCTAAAGAGTGGCTTTGCCACAGCTTTCTCAAAGTTATGCGGAAACCACAAAAACTAAGACTCACTCAAGAGCCTATTACAGTTTAAATGTTACTAAGATACTACAGTCAGTTTGTTTGGTTTTTTTCCTGAAAAGTAAGAACTGGCTATATATGAAACAAATGAAAGACAACCAAATTTCTCAAAGTTTTAATAGCTGCAAAGAGAACTCTGACTAAATATTTTCTGAAGACTGAAGTGTCAAGTTAGGAAAACAAGTACTAAATAACTAATGTTATGTGTTTTATTTAACTTTAGCACTTTACATTTTCATACAGAGAAACTCATAAACAGAGAAAAATCCAAAGCCTGCAGAAGAGATCTCTTGTAAGCAAGTATACTGCAGTAGATTAAATGTTTTCAGTGACTCACAGCATATGATTTGCCTGGGCAATGCACAAGGTTGACTAGACTTTACACAGGTTATCATCTACTTCGGCTTCATTTTAATATTAAAACATGCAATCGACCCTCTGCATAAATAACCAATTTTTGAACACTCTGTAACAAAATACTACATTCAACTTCCCCTGCCCCTTCACAAACACAGTTTATGATCTGCCAAAGACATAACCAATGCTAAAAGAGGAAGAGGAGCCAGGTCCTTATCTGCCACTTTATGATACAACTACTAATTAGACACTCCCTCAACTTTCACGCACACATATCCATTTACTTCTCCTTTCAGACTCTTGTGGATTTGCCTGAACAAATATACCTGTGTGTACACTTGTGGTATGTGCAGACCTCAACTTCCACTCTGCAAGTCCACTCCTTCCCAAGTACAGCTACTAAAGAATTTATATCTTTGCCTACATTCAAACACACCATGAAAAAAAAAAAAAAAGACTTCTTCAACTTTCATATGCCACAAGAAAAGCCCAAATTTAACCTGAACTCATCTGACGTTTTATTTCCTGAAAATTTGTTTCTCAAATAGCAACAATGAAGTTATTAGTACAATCAATCCATTGTTTAAGCACGTTCGAAACATGGACTGAATCAGGTTTGGTTGCAAATCCTCAAAGGAGCCTATCTCATACCGTGAATTCGTCACTGAAAAAAGTAATTCAGATCTTGTCCCTAGAATCTGTTGATTACTCTATTATCTCAGCCTTTACAGCAACGAACCAAGGAAACTGATTAACAGCTGTCAAACAGAAGCTGTACATTCTCACAAGGGGAAGAAGTATATGCAATGGAATGTCTTCCTATCATATAAGGTTTACGTTTATATAAATATATTTAATACCGCTATTTTGTTTCCATAATGGAGAACAGCCAAATCAAAAATGTTATTTTACTCAAAGAAAAAGGGCAGGAAGGTCTGCAAGGTCCTCATTCTTAGCAGAGTCTGTTCAGCACCAGCCTCTCAAGATACCCTCTATCTGACAACTTTGAGCTTCACCCATATTATGGGCAATTTCACCATGCCAGAAAGAGAGCTGTCAATTGCCATCTTTATCCCAGGATACAGGCAGCACTTTAAATACTCTGGAATCCAAGGTATAGCACTCTAAGGGGTACGTCTAAAACATTTAATATGATCAAAAATTTTGCTAAAAGAAACTAAAAAGAAGTGAGATCTGGTGCTTCCAATAATTTTTATCACTGTGGAGAAATAGTGCAGCATTCTGCAGTAACCAGAACTTTCAAATTGATAAAGACTTTCCAATTGATATGGAGGAAGGAAAGGAGGAGAAAGCCAAAGGGGAAAGAGCCTCATGGCAGGTGAGATGCTTGGAGCACGGTACGCTTCAGCGTGGTATGCTTAAGCATACTATTTCGATAGAATAACACTGTTTTTTTTTTTTTTTGTTAAGGAGGGGAAGGGGGATATATACATCTATTTATGAGAATGCACTGGAATCTTCTAGCCAGCTAGAAACAAGGTTATGCTGTTATGCAAGAACTTCATACTGATACAGAAAGCAGAACACTCTTAATTCCTCAACTCGTATTAAACTCTTCCCACATAGCAGCAATGGGATTGCTAGTATGGGCACTCTGCAATTTAACTACCTAAAACTAGACTCGATCACTTCTGGTTGTACATTTTCATCCACAGGGGATTGTTTCATGACTGTAAATTCTTCAAAGATGCGCTATGCTAGATCAGATGTATGTGTAAGTTCATTTAAATTCGTGCTTGCTTTGCTTCTGTATGAGAATAACAGTACCATATGAATTCCAGTCCCTGTTAGTTGAAGTACAAGCAGTCAAAAGAGTAAGTCTGTAGCTGTTCCTGAGCAGACAGATTGGATCACAGACATCTAGGCACAAAGGAGCAAGTATAGCCTGGTAGCTGTTTTTCATTTAACTCAAGTGCACAATTCCATTTACCTAATAAACACATTTTTTGTTCAGATAAGCAAGAAAAACAACAAATGCTGCAAATAGGTAATCTGAACATTTTAAACCCAAATAAGAACCGTTTGGTTTACACAACAACTTTCTCTCATCGTCAAATCACAGTATTTTCCCTTTGGTGAAGTAAATAACATTAAATTGCCATGCTCTGTGTAACAGCTGAAATCAACAAGTAAAGAAGGATGTTGAAATACTGGACAGAAATTAAAGAAAGCCCCCCCCCCCCCCACTTTAAAGCCCTCTCCCCAGAAAACAAAGCCCAGCAGGCAAGACTTAAGAATGCACCGTCTTCAGCTTATGAAATGGAAATCTGAGGTGACCTGATCACTGCATGTAGGTCCTAACACATGAAAGAAGAACTCCAGCAGTGCATGACTTTTGATTCTTGCTGAGAAGCGTTAGACACAAGAGCTGGAAGTTAAACTCAAATGTGAAATAAAATATGACTCCGTAACTGCAGCCATTTGAAACTGCTTATGAAGAGAAGCTGGTAGACTCACCAACCCTTAATCTGTACAACGAATAAGGAAGTCACTCTAAAATAAGTCATTTTAAATGAGCACGTAAACACAAAGCTAACGGATCACCAAGACTTCAAAAAGGCAGAAAGTTAGGGGAAAATCATAACATATGAAGAATTACTTTTCAAATGATCATTCGCAGAGTATAACATTCCAAATATGTGCAACGCTGCTAGCAACTGTATAGTTTCTTTCCTTCAGTTTCTCTACAAACTGAAGAAAACACGCACCTAGAATATCTCTACCTGATGGAAGCCCTGAAATCCACCATCAAGGAAAAAAAAAAAAAAAAAACAGTTGCTGCCAATACAGTTGCTGCCTTTTCTGTGAACTTAGCGCACACTCTAGTCTTCTAATGCCTGATGTATACACATGCAGACATAGCATTATTTAGTATTTTTGTATTTTACCCACAGAGAACTAATGTTCTTTTCCTGGTATAAATTATAATCTTGGGAACAGTTACAGTAGATGTACACTTGAATTTTTGCCTTCACAGCACTGTCAATTAACAATATGACTTTATATTTATTCCCATCTGACATATGGCAAATCTCACAATCCTTCTGGCCCAAAAATCCTTTCTCAGACAGCCCTCAGAACCAGGTAATCTGAGAATGGCCCAAGACCCCTGCAAAGACATATTTAAGTAAACTGCAGTCCAGAAAAGCACAGTTCTCGTTCCCACTCAGATTAGTTTGAGCCCTGAGTCATATGAGCTAGTATGTCTTCTAAATGGTTTTTGGCTTTCTTTATAAAAGCACTAGAAAATTTTGGTATTGATACAAATATCTGCTTGCTTTGAATCCTGGTTTTGAGCCTGAATGATTTTCTCTGGCAGTTAGTTTCATTTTAATTGCACACTGGCTGAAAAAATATTTCTACCTACTTTTTTTTTTTTTTTTTAAACTCCCACTTTTTAAATATCATTGAATGTCCTCTTAGGCTTGTATTATGAGACATCACAAAGTCATCTTGCCACACTAGTTCTTCTTAATGGACTGACAAACGATCTTAATTAAATTTTAACATGCCCAAGCTAACCTTTTTCACAGCTGACCATACAAAAAATATTCAACTACTATGCTGAATTAGCGAGTCTAGAAATACTTCAGTATTTTATTTAGTACACTAAAGGAATAAGGCTCCCTGTTCTGAATGAGGGCTACACTACTTCCACTATCTTTTTTATTACCTCTTCCCTTAAGAAACTAGGGCAAAATTAATGTTATAATGTCTTCTGCCAAAGAATGCTAGAACCCTATGACACAATTCTAAAACAAACGATGGCAGCAGATGTGGTTCAGTTTAACAAGTCAATAAATACTTTAAGTGCCTAGAGAGCTGGGTCTTTTCTAATAGGACCCTGGATTAAAATTTAAAAAGCGGGTCAATAGTTATTAGAAGAGAAAAACTTGCAATACACATGGGGGCTTCTAGTGCAGAGAAGTGCAGATAAATGCAGATAAAAGCTGCTGAGAGAGAAGTTGTCTCAATGTCAGAAAACACATTCATCTCAGAAAATGAGGTTTTTCTACAAAATTTAGAGGACGAACGGATCACAAACAGGAAGAAACATCAGATAAACAAGTTTAGTAGCATGTAAACCGGGCATCTAAACTTACTACGCGTCCTCTTACGCTTCCCTGCGTGAGACGTTCGAGCTGCTTCATTAAGCCCTTCAAGCGCCAAAACCTGCAACACCTCCAACACTTAACACCGCGAGAAACTGTCTAAAAAGAAAGAAGGAAGGGGAAAAAAAAAAAAAGTGGAAGTAAAACTTTACGCTTGAATCCACAGGTGCCTCCACACAGCAACGCACACCGCAAAACTACCGCTGCCTTACGGGGTGGAAAAGAAGGTAAAACCGGCATAA